TCTAAATTTATTCATTAATCCCCACAAAAATTGACATTTATTCTAACTTAGAATGCGACACTCCCGTTAATGCTTGCCACTTATCCTCGACCTAATGTGGGTCATATTTAAATTCTTAAACGTTTATATTTAAATTAAAAAAAAAAATTCTTGATCTCACAATGTTCGTGAATGAGTCGATACCACATCTGAATAAGAGTAATTACTACATATACCAACAAGGTACAACTTTTTTTACAGTGACTCAATCATAGAAATTTCAAAATTAAACGTGCTTGATTTTGAGCGATTCTAGATTAAGTAACCTCGGGAGATTTTTAATGTAATTAAAATTAAAAATGATAGGGATAGAACAAATTTTTAATTATAAAATATTTCATTAAAAAAAAATCATAATTTTTGTAGTTGGACCATACTAGAATATAAAATTTTCAGATATATAAATAAAGTGTATTGGCATCCAGCTCATTGCTAGGGCATTGGTTAAGCAAGAATCATGTATTAAATATAATTAATTAATTAATTCTTTTATTTATTAAGCATCAACTGAACCCAATATATTAAAATAAAAATTTTGGTCTAATTTTAAATAAATATTAATAATTAAAAGCCTCGAAATTTTAATGGATAGAATTTGGACACATTTGTGATTTAAAAATATTATATATAATATATATTCTCACTTTTGGCTGCACTTTTTTATTTTAAATTCATTTAATGTTTTTCTTTTTGGAAGCTTTTTTTAAAATAATTATAATTCATTTAACTTTTTTTAGGAAATAAAGTTTATACACACATTACTAAATCTGATCACTTTAATTTATAATATTAATTTGTACAAAATTAAATAACATCATTTTTATTTTACTATTATCTCGAATATTGCTTTATTTTAAATATAATATTTAGAAATTTTATTTATTTATTTATGTTGAAAAAGGTCAAATTTGGTAGACTCAAAAGGAAATATGAACCAATAATTATCCAAATCTTTGAAATATAGGTTTAGACTTTCTCACATTCTTGTCCCTCAATTATTTAATTAATTTCTTCTATTTATTTCTTTCATAAAATTTTAAAAAATCCAATTTTTGTTTTTTTAGAGTCAATAAATTATAAAAAGATTTAATTACACTTTATTTAAAATGTTTATTAAATGAAGCTTAAGTTATTAAATTTTTATTTTAGAATATGTGGAATTTTAGATAAAGTTTAAAAAATATCTTATGTCGGCCTAAGTGAGCTATGTTGTGGCACATACGTGTGTCATAGTGTGAGCGAGTGTGCTGAGATGAGTGTTTCAGACGACTTTCTTTGAAATGGGTTTTTCAAGGACAAATTTGGACGGTATGGGTGTGCCGATATTGCGCCCCGCCCCGCGTGTTGGAGGTTGCTACATACACCCGCTATCCAGTACGGTATTTGTAAATGACACGGCATGGGCACGGGAGGCCTAAGGCCTTGATAGAACCCGGATAGATGGATGTTCGAAAAGTCTCGATGAGATGAGCGACATGAAGACTTGTTCTCGATGGCATGATCGAACGAGTTGTGATGACCGACGATATCTTGAGACTCGGGATGACGTAAAGACATGTAAACCATGTTAATGGGGATCGAGATGACAAGATGAGATGCAACGTTATATTGAGAGACCTTGGGCTCGAGCAGAGGCAAGGTCGAGCCGAATGACTTGGCCTAGTGTAGAGGGTGTAAATGATGAATATGATTAAAAACTACTTAAAAGAATTTAGAGTTATGATCTATATTAACAAGATACACATTTTTTCACCGACTCAATCGTTATAACTCTAAAGCTAAATGTGATTAGCTTGAAGCAATTTTACGTTGATCGGCTACTTAAAATTTGAGAAATTTTACGTTAAATGGTAGGGAAGCGTAGGTAGGTGCCCGGAAATGGGAGGCCAAAAGTGTGAAAAGAAGAGGTCAAAAGGGTGGGTTTAGAAAAGAATGGTAGGGTAGTCCTACATTGAATCAATGATACCAACAAAACCTAAAATCATTTCAATTAGGTGAAGGGTTGATTTTTAAGAGATAGAATTTGAGTTGTACACAAATAATTTAGCAGTCAACGATGTGACCTTTTCTGTCGGCAGTTTTTCGCATTGGCTCGGCCCCAGACTCCTCCTTTATATTACACGAATTAAGGTTCACGTCGGAATCAAACGGAAAATAATGCAAATCAAAATACTATCATATAGACGTGACAATCAAAAGAAAAACAACGTGAATTTCTTATATTAAAAAAAGAACTCCAAAATTGTAACCATCTATCCCGATCGTTTAAATAATAAATTTTTAAGTATTATATTTTTAAAATTATTGTGACGATTTCTTAAAATACGAAAGAGGAAATAACATATTGTGACGATTTCTTCGAACGAATCTTCTATATAAAAACGTGCATAAGAGCGTGTGTGACATGAAGTGCTTGACTATTAATAACGGAGGCACTCAAATTAGGGTTTAATAATGGATGAATTTAGATGAGGTTATAGAGAAGTTAGGTAAAGGGATTAATTAGTTTCCTAAAACAATTATTTGGAATTTTGAAATGCATACTCAAATTAGGCATTCTACTAATTTAATCAAAATAATTTCTCTTCTATTCTATTTTCGTTGAATTTTTAAATTTATTTATTTTAAAATAATAATAGTAATAATATAAAAATTATTATTTTAGAGGCTATTTTAATCAAATTTGAGGACGACATGACGTGGAATGGTAGGCCAAAGGGAGTAGTTAAAACTTAATTCCACGTGTTCACTGTAATAAACTTTTTTTTTTCCAAAAAGAGTCAAATCAAGACGACGTGGAATTTCCAAACCATCTTGTCGGCCCTATGGACTGGGCCCCACCCAATTTCAAAATATGGCCTCGTTTTTTTACTGCTTGCTCTCTATTACCCAAACTAACCCCGACGGTAAATCCACCGGTAAATCTCATTTTTCACCTTTTTTTTTTTTTTTTTTTCCCATCAATTTTATTTTTAAATTTGTACTTTCGTTCATAGCCATATTTATCACATGATTTTGAACTTATTTCTATTTGATGTTCCTCATTTTTAAACTTCAAATTTAATTCAATTTCATATTTATTATTACCCAATTTTATATTATATTAAAATTTTCAATATAATTTTTTTTAAAGAAACCTAAAAAATTCTAATAAACTTAAATAATATTTAATTAAAAAATATTATATCATGTTATGTATATACATACATAACGCAAGACGAGAATAGAGAATGTAATCTCTTATAACTCCGTTTCCCATTCTTCGAGTCAATGGGACGAAGACAAACTCATTACAAAATATAAAATAATAAATTTGAATTAATACTTTTTTTTTTTTTCTTCCCAAGAAATGTGGGTGAAAAGGGAATATTCAGATGCGGACACTCATATAGTGGGCCGGCACCGACCCCACGCAATGGAAAAAGGCCGAAAGTTAGGGTTTATGTAAGAATGAAGCCGCCCATCCATTTAAACTTTGCGTGGACCCTCCCGCACTGTATAATACCTCCCACCCACCCAATTCACAATTTCCATTTCCCAAAATATCCCTAATTTTATAAAATTCAACACACAACGTACATTTTGTTTATAATAATTACATCCCTTTCCAAATTAGTTTCTAAATTACAAAAATTCCTTTTTTAAAATTTAAAATTAATTATTGTTTAGAGATTTCAATGTAGACGATATAATAAAAAGAATTTAGCAATATTCTGTTGTTACTTTAGTTATATTTTAATAAAGTATTTGAATATATAATAAAAATGAGTTGAATTTTCAATGTATATTTTATAGAAGAATTGAATTTAATAAAAGGTAAATAGTAAGTGGTGGACAGATATTTAATACCCAAAAAGTAAGAATGGAAGATAAACTCAGAAGCCTAAAATAGGAAATGGATAAAGCCCCACACCTTTTTTATTTTCTACTTTTCTAGGGGTGCCCTAAACACTCAGCCCACTAATACTAATTAAATATAAAAATAATCATAAATTTTTTAAAATAATATTAAATACTTGTAGATAATTTACGAGGATATTATTAAAAAATTAGTTTAAATACAAAATAAAATGTATTTTTATTAATTTATTAAAAAAAAATATTTAAGAAATGTAAAAATAAAAATAAAAAAGAAATAAAGACAGGTCACGCGTGACTTAAAATTAATCAAATTAATCCTTTCAGTGCAGTGTCAGTGTACGTACCAGAACCAAACCCCTCTCGATTTTCGAGCCCTTCGTATTTTTTTAATATTTTAATTAATTATATATTTTTTTTAAAATAAATATCTCAACCTTCCGTGACGCCATCCAATTATAGGGCCTGCTGCCCATGGCCCTCCCTTATACGCTACCCATCTTGCCCTTTTGGGGGACACCTGGTCCCCCACGGGTTTTCATTTTTTGTCCTTATTCCATTTTTTATTTATTTATTTATTCATTTTTAATTCTTTTTCAAACTTTGAATTTCATGTTAATCTCTATTACCTTTTTACTATTGTTTTCGAATAAAATAAACTAAATTTATAATTTAATTTATTCAAAATATATATAATTAGAAAATTTTAAGATTATACTAAAATAATAAGCAAAAAAAAAAAAGGAGGGAAAAATAGAGTAAGAGAAGAAGCTACGTGGACGGATTAGAAGGCACACGAGGGAAGGGGAGAGATCAGATTACCACCACGTCTGATGCCACGTCAGATTCCGTAACCCAAGTCAGGAGGCACGTGAGAGTCACACGCCTAGTAACTGGAAGAATCACCCGTCACGCGTCTCATTATAAGTCCTGTAAGTCCTCCCCGTCACAGCCTGGCAACTTCTTTTGACCAACCTAACGGACCAATCCAAATCGTCCACGTTTCTCCTTGACCGTGACGCATGTGTTACCCTTACAGCTGTCGCCTTTCTTCATGTCCAAATGCTTCCCACTATAAATACGAATACCCATTTCCTTCCTTTCAATCCAATATCCAATATCTATTTATCTTCTTCCAACTTTGCCCTGAACATGGCTTCTATTTACCATCGTGCCACTCTCTGTTTCACTCTGTTTTTCTTCCTCTCCTCTGCCGCCGCCGCTCCTGGTCTCAGCCGGGGACCGGCGGCGATCGTCGAGCAACAGCCTTTGGTGCTCGAATACCACAAGGGTGCTCTTCTGAAAGGGAATATCACCGTCAATTTGATATGGTACGGCCGATTCACATCTTCACAGCGCTCTGTAATCGTCGATTTCATTCAATCTCTAAGCTATTCACGTGCTCCGGCGCCGTCGGCGTCTCTCTGGTGGAAGACGACGGAGAAATACAAGGGTGGGTCGTCGAATCTCATTGTTGGGAAGCAGATTCTTCACGAGGCTTACACTTTGGGGAAAAATCTGAAGAACCTGCATCTTAGGGCGTTGGCGACCAAGGTCAATCAGTTGAATTCAGTAAACGTGGTGCTGACGGCGAAGGATGTTGCCGTCGATGGATTCTGCCGTAGCCGGTGCGGTACTCATGGGTCGGTTCCGGTGGGTCGGAGAAGCGCACGAACCGCTTATGTATGGGTTGGAAACTCGGAATCTCAGTGCCCTGGGTACTGCGCCTGGCCGTTCCATCAGCCTATTTACGGTCCACAGACGCCGCCATTGATCGCCCCCAACGGCGACGTCGGTGTCGATGGAATGATAATCAATTTGGCCACCGTTTTGGCAGGAACTGTAACGAATCCTTTCAACGATGGGTACTTTCAGGGCCCACCAACGGCGCCGCTGGAAGCTGTGTCAGCCTGCACCGGGTTGTTCGGGTCCGGAGCCTACCCGGGTTACCCAGGTCAGGTTCTGGTTGACAAGGTGACCGGAGCCAGTTTCAATGTCCATGGAGTTAACGGACGGAAGTATCTACTCCCGGCGATGTGGGACCCCCAGTCGTCTACGTGTAAGACAATGGTGTGAAGTGGCTGATGAAGACGACACGTGGCGGTGGATTGTGTTCTTTCCTTTGTATATATAATATAATGAGTAAAAAACATATGATCCACGATAATGGGTTCGGGTGCCGTACGGTTGGGGAATGGATGAAACGCTGTCGTTTTGGTGGTCATGTAAAAATTTGTATTTTGAAAAATGGACAGGGAATGAGAAATATAAATAATGCAAACTTTAATTAAATGGAAAGAAAAAAAAAGAGTTTAAAAAGATGCTTCAAGTGGGGAATTTAGGAGTGTTTGGTAATGAGAATAAAGTAGATTAATGATGGGAATACAGTGGAAAAGATTTGATATTTGATGGTAATAAAAAAAATGGTATTCTATCTGATACTAAGGCAATGATTAAATGTGGGATAAAGAACTTATGGAATCATTATTTTTTAAATTTAGTGGACACAGCATTTAAAAGATAATTCGTTAAACAAACATATGGAGTTTCAATTTTCTTTTTTATATCCATCAGCTTTTGGAAAAGTTTTAGATATGTAATAATTACTACTGAATTTACTTCTGAAGTATCTAAGAGGTTAGTGTATTTACACTAACCGCACAAGCTTTGCTCTTTAGGCTTGCAAATATTGTCCACAATGTTTTAAAATGTGTCGGTCGGGAATGGTTTCCACACTCTGTGCCCCTCTCCAACCGATGTTGGATCTCACAATCCACCCTCTCTTCAGGGCCTAGTGTCCTTGTTGGCACTGACACTCATTTCTCACTCCAATCGATGTGGATCACACAATCCACCCTCCCTTAGAGGCTCAGCATCCTCGCTGGCATACCACCCAATGTTCACCCCCTTCGAGACTCACCATCCTAGCTAGCACGCCACCTAGTGTCTTACTCTAATACCATTTGTCACGATTCAAACTCACCACTAGCAGATATTATCCTCTTTGTGCTTTTCCTTATGGGCTTCCCCCCTTAAGTTTTAAAACGCATCTGCTAGAGAGAGGTTTTCACATCCCTTATAAAGAATGTTTTGTTCCCCTCTCCAACAGATGTGGGATTGCACAATTCATTCTCCTTTGGGGCCCAGCGTTCTCGCTGGCACTCGTTCCCTACTCGTTCCCTACTCGTTCCCTTCTCTCATTGATGTGGGAGCTCTAGAAGATTATTGTTCTTGAAATCAGAACTTTTATAACTGACCAAGCAGATGGGGCAAACAAAACCAAATAAATCTATGCACAGAATTGAACCAAAATAGCAAGCACTCAATATATAGAACGTTTAATACCAATATGTAATGGGTTCTATTTTTAGCTTCAAACACGATGCACAAAATTCCAAAGTGAAATACTTAAGATAATGAAAACGTACCTGCAGCAACTCCAGAGGAGCCTTCTTCTATACGCAGTGATAGAGCTCGAAGGGATTGACCTGCGTCGTGCTTGCTTACACTCCATTTCTTTTAAACAGAAAAAGATCTCTTAAAATTATATCCAAACATCAATTTCCTTCATAAAAAAATAAAAGGGCATGCAGACACATTTAAGTACGATATCTCTAGTTCAACAATGCCCCAAACAAAAATAACACTCAATAGTAGGGGCCGTAACGCGTTGGCATTCTGAACCTTGGGACTTTCCTGCAACAGAAAGAACTATGTTAAACGACTTGGAAGAGAGGAAGAGATGCAAGCGGTTTGCATTGGAAATTTATATTCAATAATAATCGTACCCGTATCCATATGGTGAGAAGAAATAAGGAGGAGCAACATATGGGTTCCTGGATCGAGCACCCATATATGGATTGGATCGGCGTGGACGATACTGCTTCATCCCAGGTATGTTTGTCCTCTTGGCAGTTACCTGCAACATACTTAAAAACTCATTTTTTTTTCCAGTAGAAGAATCTTAAACTAACATTAATCTAGCAATATATAAAACTTATGTTAACCTTCAGCTGTCGACCATGCAGTTCTGATTCATTCAGAAGGAGGGCCTCTTGAACAGCTTCTGTCTCAAGGAATTCAACATACGCATAACCCTTCGGTTGTCCAAACTTATCGGTGCGAATAGTGATTCTGTTTACAGTTCCACATGACTGAAAATGTTGCTGTACTTCTTCTGGGGTACATGAGTAATCCACCTGTTCCAAACGTAGTAGCTCAGAACATTTGACATACCACAAAACCCGAATAAAATAGGGCTCGCAGATTTTTATCAGTTAACTTATATCATATCAATATTAGTAGAATGTAAATCACACAAAAAAATTAAATCAATAAAATGAGTCACACATTTTCATAATTACTGTGTGATTGTCATAGTACATCACCCTGTAACGAACTGAAAATAAAAATTAAATTAATTAATAAAAGTCATGTCCCAATCGTTCATAATAATAGGTCTCTTTCTAATTCCAATGGATATCCATTCATGAGAAGACAAGAAATTACCATGCAACTCTAATTTCTCCACATTTGTTCTCTTGAAAAATCCTAGACGACTAACAGCTTTTTTGACCAGTGGCCATGATTATAAGAGAATATTCATACAAGAATGACAATGTAATAATGTAATAACCCAGTAAACAGAAACCATCCAAGGAACACGTATTCATCTATGGAAAGGAGAGACATTTGACTACTCCTACCAAACGACAGAAAAACAAATCCTGATGGGTACTTAGCTGAATGAGTCCAATTTAATTTTTAAATTTGAAGTTTGACCAATTGAACTTGAATAAAAGTTCAAATTAAAAACCTATGTTGGTTTTTTTCCCCATTTTGAGATTGAAGGTTAAGTGTGGGTGCTTGTGATTGGAGAACACTATTTCTATGTATACTTAATAATTTTTTAGCAGGGATGTCTTTACATTGGGTGACATTGGGAGTTTTTCTAGCAGTATTTTGGGTTTGTTAGATTTTGAACAATTTCAGTTAGTTAAACAAAATTTTTTGAACTTCAAATCAAGGAAGGCCTTAATTTTATACCCTATACAAGCATAGAGTTCAACTTGATGAAACTGGATATTTACGAAGGTAAAAATGAACATTTCCCACAAGTAGAAATAGAAACATAAAAGCTTCCCTAATTATGCCTTTTTCCTTTCCTTGATGGATTAAGGGAGGAGACAGGAAAATCAGAGATATTTGGAGGTCCCTCACCATAGATTGTAAATCACTTAAACAATCCTCGAACAGTGGTCACAAATGCTGGCTTCAACACAAGACAATAACATACCTCAGCGCCACAGCCAGTCCTCCTTAGTTGTGAATGCACATTACTTCCCTTCAAAACTTGTCAAGCCTTCCAGTTCAATCAAGCAAACCAGTAAAACTTCTGCTGACTTCATCCAGTCATACATACCCTTTTCTGGGCTGGTGAGTTTATTCTCTCTCCCACTTTTTTTTTTTTTTTTTAACCAACTCCTCTTTCCCATTACCCACATGGCCTCAAACTTGAGACATGTTAGATTGACTGACTCTTAGCCCACCCACTAAGCTAACAAGGCATGACTACATGATATTTAGGTATATTTTCTTTTCTTGTTAACTCATCTCAACTTTTTTCTTCCATCACTCTTTTCAAAAGATTCAACCAAAACTATTACCCTCTTGAAAATTTTACACCTTATCCTTATACATTTTATCACAATTTTTATCCGCTCTTTCTTTTGGGACAAGACACTTTTTTATATACTAGATAGCTATTTATAACATATCAGAGAATATCCGACTTCAGCAATAGGTAATCAGAAAACCTGACGAAGTAAGCCTAACCTGTAATTGCAGTCAAACATGGGAGTCAAATCAGGCTAGAAACACCGACATATACTAAAATTTCAAGCACAGTACAGAAATGGGTCATATATAAATTTAAAAAGTAACTATCCACATTGAACTGAATTTTTGGCAACAATCTATTTGGAAAATATTCATAATAGTTACTTATAGATTTCAATGTTTTTAAAAGGCAGAACGATAGATAACAATACAATGAACCCTCCAAACATCTCTAAAATAGTACTGCTAGCAACCAACCACTTTAACATCCTCAAAATTAAAGCATGATCCAACCTCTTCCTAAGACATGAATGATATGTACCACAAGAAACAACCCATATCTACCTGAAATTTAGTAAATCTTTATGACCACACGAGGAATGAACAAACCAAGGAATGAAAGTTAGTCAGTTTAATCCATGTCAATAATTAAGTAACTGAACTCTCAAAGAAAGTCATGCTCAAAAAGCTCTTTCTATTGTTCAATAAAGAAGACAGCTCCAGTCAGTGGCTTCTCTTGCCAATTTACCTTCAATTATTGATAAATCCAATCCATTCAAAATATAAAAAGGTCACCAAATACTTCAATAAGATTGCTCCATTCATCATATCAAATGCATGGAACAAAAGAAAGACAAAAGATTAATATTAGAGAAAGCTACAAGAAGAGCAAGTCTTAGCTCCCATTCATGATGAATGACCTAAATAGAAGTAACAAATCTAGTAAAAATAAGTAGTGCAAACTGTAAATACATATTGTTCAAGAATTTAACATTAACAGAGAGAATCCTTGCACCCATTAAATTAAAGTTCAGCCAATCGTGGGGTACGAGTGACCGACGCAAGCAACTGGAGAAATATGCAAAAGAAAATATATATATTGGTCAAGGGTAAAGAGATCGTACATTGCCAACAAACACTGACCGTGCATCCACTTCCTCCCTATTTGCTTGACTTGCAGCAGCACTTGCTGGATCTGGTAGTACAAAAAGTGGCTAACCATTTAACGGTAACAGACTGCTTGCACTACTTTCGCATGAGAGATATATTTATATTAAAAACATGTACGGGATGATCAGCAAATAATATGTCTCCATAATTAGGTTCTCATCCCAAGGCAAACTTCTGCTAATCAGAAACTACAACTTTGTGATTAAGATGAGAACGAATCATCTCCAAGTCGGAGACAGTTCAAAAATCAGTTACTCAGTTAATGAATAGCTACAACAATTTGAAATTCAAATGCAAGAGTCAGTTTTTTGCATGAGATCCAAATGCGCCTTCTTCAAACATTAAACATTTTCAACTTGCATCCAACAAAAAGACGACCTTCAGAATCAAACAAATACCAAAACTTGACTTACTTATTCAGTATTTCACCAAATAAGATCCAAGATAGACATCGTAAATACTAACACAACGAATAGAATCCAAGAGCCTCCATATCGCAATGACATTGTACAAAAACACAAAACTAATTCACAAAAGCGAAGAAGAGCATAAACCAACCTTGTACAGAACTCATTTCCTTCTCGACCTTGGCCTGCATCTCACGTAGAGCAGCAGCTTCATCTTCCATCTCTTTCAACCGTTTCTTCATG